GTCTAGGTATTTATTATGTCTATGGCGCGCACAACTGAACGGGCCGATCAAGAGCACCCAGCTGGAGTGACGCCACTTCCGTGACAGATTTATCAACAATAACAAAAGCGACGAGGAACACTTTGGCGATCAAAGTGCGAGTCTCCAAATGACATGACGTGGATAAACTGACGGTTAGGAGTTGGTTTGGATTACAGCGTCCTGTCCCGCGTCTCACGGAGGAGCTGCTCATTCAGTGTAAGACACTTAATGATGATGGAGGGATGTTTTCGGCTCAAGCTACCTAAATATTAGCTGAAGTATGATCATTCTCAGGTGTTGACTTACAAAGATACATTCTCGTTTCATGTCTTCTAACATTTAGTCGTCTGTTTTGGTGACTGGTTCTGTCAGCTTTAATATATGAATCTTCGTGCAGTAGCTCAAGGGAAATTCATCTGGCACTGATTTAGTATGTCCTGGTATATTATAAAAGCACTAACCTTTATCAATTTATCATTACGTAATTGTCATGTGGTGACTTGTAAAAGGTTCCTTGTTTGAAAATGTACGAATGCTGGTTATACTCATTTACAGTATGTGGTTGTGGGTAGTGTTGGGTAGATTTGCAATGAAATATTATATATGTATGTATATGTATGTGTATGTGTGTGTGTATATACGTTTATGTGGTTTATGAGGGCACAAATTTGTATAATGGCATGGATATGACAGGTATTGCAATGTGAGGGTGATTTATGAGGACACTTCCGGTGTCCTTGTAATTCAAAAGGATAAAAAAAAATTCTACATTTTTTTTAAAATCTAAAAATGCACAAAGTTTTCTGTGAGGGGTAGGGTTGGTGCAGGGCGATAGAAATGCAGTCTGTACAGTATAAAAGCATTATTAATATGGAGAACCATAAAAACCAACAAATTGTGAAAAACCAAATTGTGTATGTGTGTGCTAGTTTTGTAGTTCAAGCATTGTCTCTTTGAAAGTTATTTCTGTATGTTAAAATGTAAACAGATATTCTGTAAATTACAAAATATCAACTAATTTATTGCAGTTGCCTGTATAATTTAATACATATCTAATCGTCATCCATAAAAAAAGGCATTTTTCGTAGTTTTTATTCTTTAATTTCAGCCATTTTTGTACTGCTTTTGCTCTACAGCTACTATTTGATGTAAGTTTTATCTGATAGGTATTTCTTAATTCGTATTAAATGTGCTGTAAAATGTAAAGACATCAGCTCTTTTTCTTGTAAGTTGATACTCAAAACGCTAGACTTTAATGAAACTGCTTTAGGCAGTGTATTGTCTTGGCAACTTTTTGTTTAACAAGTCAGCTATTGTTCTTTTAGTACTGTTATATGCACAGCTGTCGAAAGAGTGTTTACATGGTGTTGGGTCTCTTTTTCGTGTTTCCCTTAAGAGCCTGTAAACCTGCTCTGACTTGTAACAACATTAAGGTTTTTCATATGCATATTGAGTGTGTTGGTTTGTTGAGGCAGATTAGTGTAGTTACAGCTGAAGGTGAATTGGTCATCTGTCCTTCTTGCTGACCTGGTGTCTTCTTTCTGCAGAGTGCTGTTATCACTGAGAAGTGCCGTGAGGACGCTGAGCAGAGCCCAGTCTCTTTGCTGGTTTGCAGCCACATTTTCCGTTTGAGCCCTGACACTCAAAGGACAAATAACTTTTGTAGTAAAAGTAAACCTTATTTTATGGCACAGCTGTGTCTTTGGACCTGTGAGGACAAATTGCACAGCAGGTGAGAGCATTTAATATTCTTGCTTCTCATATACATATCGGTTAATCAAGGAAAAATGTATTCAATATGCTTATTCATTAGTGGATTAACTTATTTTTGTTATAAGACAGTAAATGCTATTCTCAGTAAAGTCGGCAATAATATGACTTTATTCAGTAGATGGTTAAATCTAGGCCAGTTCTGTTTAAAAATTGAACTTTTAGCCCAGAGGGCTGCAGCTTCTCACTATTTTTTTAACTGAACTGCTTGAGGTTGTCTGACACATGGGTCATGGCATGACACACTTTTTTAATAAATGATGGATGATGGAGGCACCCATACTGTAACTAATAAATGCTGTAAATACTTATATATTTACATGTAGTTAAGTGTGTATATATATAATAATAGTTCAAGCAAAACCAGTATTATGTAAGATTAATAAAAGACTGAAAGTCATGTGGTACAATGAGGACATGATTTATAGAACATGGCTCTATGTCAAGGTCAGCAAGCCTCTTCAAATATCAGATAATTTGACTATTTCATGACAAAGTAAGTCTAGTTCGGGATCATTCAGACAAACAGACAGTCCCACCTCAAACTCACGCCATTGACTGAGCTATGTATGACTCCTCAAACAGCATTTTTGGAAATGGACCTACGAATGGCTTGGTTATTTCTGCACATGTAACTAGCAACTATTTAATATTGTTTAATGACACACTTTGTCTCTATAAACGTTTTGATAACTGTGTATCTACAGTTGCATAAGGTGCACGGTGTTGGCCGGTGCAATGGAAGCTTCTGAAACAGAAGGCCGCACCTTTATGCAGGTGATCAGTGAGAAGTACAGCCCGGAAAACTTCCCTTGCCGTCGGGGTCCAGGCATGGGTGTCGTGGTTGTGCCGTCTGGACATCAGGGATCACCTAGGAAAGGTGAGGCTTGGGTTAGTTATAAACAAGTTATGTAATGTTCCTAGGTGATTTTAGCGTTTCCTTTGGCAGCTGTAAGCTGTTGTTGTGTTTCATTAGTTATTTGGTCATTCTGCCTTCAGACCGTCTGAACCTGCCCAGTGTTCTGGTTTTGAATGGCTGTGGAATCAGTCATGCAGGAGAAGAGGGAGAAATCGCTGCCTTCTGTGCTCATGTAGTTGAACTTGATCTGTCCCATAACAAGCTCCAAGACTGGCATGAGGTGAGTTAGTTAGTCTGAGGATCGGAGGATCCACACTTTGATTTTCATCCAATTTCATATGCTGTTATACTTTTTTCTGGAACACAAAAGGAGAAATTTTTAAAGAATTGCTAAACAACCTTATGTTGTAAAACAGCAATTCAAAGCGAAGAGGCTGTCAAGCTCCAAATAAAATTACAGAAAAAGCACCATAAAAATAGTCCATATGACTCATGTGCTGTATTGCTTTATGTGAGAAACTGACTGAAATGACTGATTTTATGATCTGTAAATATACAGTAGTATTAATAAATAAACATACACTACTGTTCAAAGATTTGGGGTCAGTAAGATTTTTTTTAAAGACAAATGTATCTTTATTCAGCAAGGACACATTCAATAAATAAATTCTGTTCATATATGTATGTGTGTGTGTATGTATATTATAAATTTTTATGTCCCTAAAATGTGTCTTTTAACCCTTTAATCTGTTCTAGATCAGCAAGATTGTTTCTAACATCCCGAACCTGGAGTTCTTGAACCTCAGCTCTAATCAGCTGAGTGATGCAGTCTTGGAGCCGGACTGCGCAAAGGCCTTTTCTAGCATCCGCCACCTCGTTCTTAACAATACCCAGGTGTCCTGGGACACAGTGCACACATTCACACAAGAGATGCCTGAGTGAGTCGCATTTTAAACTCTTGAGGTTTTTGTAGTTTTGAAAAAATATAGACTGATATTATGTATTAACAGTTACTAGTTGTGTACATGTGTGGTATTGATTGCTCTGGCCAGATTTTTGACACATTATGGTATTGATTTTATATATTTTTTTCACATGCAGAGTATTTTAATGGCTGTGTACGTGCAATCTTGCATATCTCTTGCATAAATTATTCAGTTATCATTTCTTTTCTTTGTACCATCATCATGATTCATGACAATGTTGATTCTCATGGGATCATTCACTTTACCTTGTTACTGTATTGAGCTATAAATGATGTTTGAGAGAATTCACTCTGAATTCATTCAATGGCTTTCAGATAACATTATGGCCAGTGAGAACAGCTCTCTTTTCTTGCTTTAAAGTGAACCATCAGACTTTATGAAGGTGCCTCTGGTATGACAGCTCTCCACTAATATTGATCTGTTTTGTCCAGACTAGAGGAGGTGTTCCTGTGCCTTAATGAGTACACCACTGTGACACCGGCCGCCATGCCCTTCCCCACACTGCGTCTGCTTCACATCACAGATAACAGCCTCCACGAGTGGAGTGAAGTACGAAAATTCGGCTCCATGTTCCCGGCACTGGACACTCTGGTCATGGCCAACAACTACCTGAGCTCCATTCAAGACTCGGGAGAAATCCTTCAGCGGCTCTTCCCTAACCTTCGAAGAATCAATCTGCACAACTCAGGTATCATCGTGTTTGTGACAGTTGCTGGGAAAGCTTCTAAATAATCATAGTATGTGTGTAATTGTCTAATTATTACTATTCTAGTACAGTGTAATTACATAAACCCAATAAAAACTTAATTTTTATCATTTTTGTGAGTCAGGGCTTAATCGATGGGAGGACATTGAGAAGCTGAAGATGGCTAAGGACTCAGCTGCTTGGATTGAGTTGGGCAGGTCATTCCAGGGATGAATGTGACGACATTTTCATTTTTGGGTGAACTCTCACTTTAACCTCATTAGAAACTGATAGTAATGTTGTAGAAATGTTGATGAGAAGATCTCATTGCTCCCACCTGCAGACTGCCATCAGTGACCTGCCTGAATGGGAGTGTCGTGACGGATGCCGAGAGAGAAGACGCTGAGAGATTCTTCATCCGTTATCACTTGGATCATTCAGAGGAAGAGCTGCCCCACAGGTATCTTTTAGGCATGAACACTGTAGTACAGACCAGTGGTTCCTAATCCTGGTCCTGGAGAACCCCCAACACTGCATGCTATTGATGTATGTCTTTTCTGACACACATATTTGAGGCCTTGGAGTCTTTACTAATGAGCTGATTAATTGAATCAGGTTTGTTTGATTAAGGAGACATCTAAACTGTGCAGTGTTGGGGGTTCTCTAGGACCAGGATTGGGAAACACTGGTGTAGACCATTTAGAACCTTATTAAATAGTTCTTGGACTCGCATCGTGTCTACACCAGATGCAAGCGATGCAACTAACCACAATAGTGTATACTTGCAGTGCGGCGCGATGCGACAAATCGGCAACAGTAAACTGTTGCCCCATTCTATTTCTTATGTACTCTATGCGCTTGCTCTAATTCTAAGGGTGTGTTCACACTTGTCATGTTTGGTTCGATTAAAACGAACCCTGGTGAGATTGCTCTGTTAATGCGGTTTGTTTAAGTAAGTGTGAAAGCTGCCATCTGAACCCTGGTGAGCACCAAACAAGCGGACCGAGACCGCTAAAAAGATGGGTCTTGGTCCGCTTCCAAACTAACTCTGGTGCGGTTCGAATTAAATATGAACGCAACACGGACCAAACTCTTCTAAACGAACCAAAAACAGGAAGTAATGAAAAGATGTGATGCTATGCGACATGATTTAATGACGCGGAATGAGCGGTACCATCCAAAACAAAATGAGCAGAGGGCAAACGTGGAGCAACGAGGAGGTAAAGTGCCTTTTATGAGCGCTTCGTGAGTTCGCAGGTGGTGAAAATAAAATTATAAGTACATGCAGCAATGAGCGCGCTTAGTCCAGCAGACGGCATTATGTGTGTTCGACTTAAAGCGGTGCTGAGCAGACCGATCGGTGAATGATACTTTGATGTCATACACCGATCGGTCTGTGCAGCACCGCTTTTAAGTCGAACACAGCTTTTGTTTGGGGTATTCGGTGAGTTCCGACACGAAATATATGTCATTCAACCTGACCAATCAGGTTGTGAACGTATCACTGTGCCTTTAGGTTCGGTATCTTAGGTTCGCTGTCAAAAATGCCAGTGTGAACGCTTAGCGGACCAGGACCAAATGTATTGTTTTCATTTTTGGTCCGGACCAAGGGAACCAAGAGAACCAAACTACAAGTGTGAACACACCCTAACACACGTGGAAAAAGGACAAATTGATTTGCAGTCACTTGGTTGCGTCAAGTGTAGACAGCTTTTAGCTGTTTAAACAATGGTCAACAACAGTTGCATCTGGTGTAGACACAGTATCAGGCAGCGCTATTCTTTAAACTGTTGGTCTGTGTACTCATAAAGACAGATGCCTTTGGGTGTTGCCAAAAATGTTAAAAGTGTGCCTTGAGATCCATACATTTCATTCCATTATCTTGTGGTCTGTCCAACTGTTTTTGAACACATTCAGCATAAACATGGTCTGGAAACATTTTGTAATTACAATCAAATAGTATGTTTTTTTATGTTATAGGATTTTGCTTTATTTTAATGCAACTGACTTTGTTTTACGATATATACTCCATATATGACAATTTTGTAAGAAGCATTATTTAGACCAGAAACACACTCTAAGTATAATTAATTATTAAAGGATTAGTTCACTTCTGAATTAAAATTTCCTCATAATTTCCTCACCCCCATGTCATCCAAGATGTTCATGTCTTTCTTTCTTCAGTCGAAAAGAAATTAAGGTTTTTGAGGAAAACATTCCAGGGTTTTTCTCTATATAGTGGACTTCAGTGGGGTTCACTGGGAGGAAGGTCCAAATTGCAGCTTCAGTGCAGCTTTAAAGCATTCTACACGATCCCAGATGAGGAATAAGGGTCTTAGCTAGCGAAACGATCGGTCATTTTCTAAAAAAGAATAAAAATTATATACTTTTTAACCTCGTTTTCCTCAAAAACCTTAATTTCTTTTCGACTGAAGAAAGAAAGACATGAACATCTTGGATGACATGGGAGTGAGAAAATTATGAGGAAATTTTCATTCAGAAGTGAACTAATCCTTTAAATAAAATGTATTGTTTATTAAATAATTATAATATAATTTAATGTAATTATTCTTCCTATTATAAATAATTATATGCCAGATTTGTTCACACCTAGTAAAAAAATATTTTTTCTAGGTGTGAATAAAACAAATATTTTTCAATTACGTTTTACAAGTAAATACCATTACAGTCTTTAAAAAAATCACATTTACTTCATTGTGCTACTTGTATTTATTTGTAAAATGTACTCGTAATTTCTCAGTGAAAATTGTTCCAAAGACAGTTTTTTTTAGTGTAGCTAAAAGTGCTTGCTTTACAGTATTTTGACTTTTTAAGTAGGAATTTTGGTTTGCCCATGTAGTGAAAGGCTGAATTTCGTTTAAGTATTTGCATTTCGCTTTGGAGATATCACTGCTTGGTGACCAAATATGGGAAACTGGCTCCTCTGGCTGAGATCGACCTGAGACCACGTTGCCATGCCAAAGTGGAGGTGCGCTATGAAGACAAAGTGGAGCAGGTGAGCATCCGTTTGGACCAGACCGTCGCAGGGCTGAAGAAGCAGCTGAGGACTGTTGTGCAGCTCCCCACCAGCAACATGCGCCTTTACTACATCGACAAGGGTTCTGCCTTTGGCCCCGACGAGTTGAAATACAGCACACGGGCCTTGCACTCTTACAGCATTCAAGATGGGGATGAGATCCTGGTAGTTCCCAAAACAAAATAACCGTCTTTCTTCAGGATCACAAAAAAGCTATATTTAAATAACCAAATCCACTTTGAATTAGCGCCATCTCATTTCCACAGAGCGAATGGGACTGTCTTTCAGGGAAAAACTTCTTGGATTTGCTGGGGCTTTAGTTCGGCACATAAGAAACACCATGTGCACCTTTGGTTTTGTTGCTGTTATTAAAGGTTTTCTTTTTGTCTTCAGACTTCATGAGCACCCCTGTATTTTCAAACGCCTGTTTCTTCAAGAATAAAGCACAGCACAGGGCTCTGGCAGCCCAGGATGTGCTTTTTACAGATTTTAAGACAATCACCCATAGCTGAAAGAAAATGTTGCACTGCACTGATGTCTTAAAGATGAAATCATGGATATCCATTGCCTACTGATGTGTGTTGTATGCTGTCAGCCGTTAATTACATGCAAAAGACTCTCAGGCCTTATATATTATATGGGCAGTGCTAGATTCACATGAGGAAAGATTTGCAAAGCATCTTATTCACAAATGTTTTTAAATGTCCAGTTCAATTTTATAATCTGATTGAAGAATCCAGAAGGGAATTGCGGCGTCGCATGCATTTGCTATTTAATGTGGGATTTATTTTTATTTTTTTTCCTTTTGAATATTTCTATTAGTACTTTCTCTGCCGTTTTGGAAGTGGGCACTCAAACTTGTACCTCCAATGCAAAGCATATGCTGAGAAAAGTGCTTATCTTCATTTCAGTTGTATCCATATTATGGAGTGTGTTTATTTTTATATTTTACTCGCAGAATAGTGAGATCTGTTAAGTGGCAAAACATCAGTCCACCAAAGATTGTTATGATTACATACACGTATTATATATAATATGATTATTCACAGTATTTATTATTGATTTACTAATTGGTGTTATTTGTTAAAAACAAAACAAAACAAATCAATAGCAAACCAATCAATGTGTATGACTCTATCCGGCCAGCAAAACATAAGCGGGAAATTTGGCTCCTATGTTAATTTAAAAGAATAGTTCACCCAAAAATGAGAATTTTTTTGAAAATTTACTCACCCTCAGGCCATCCAAGATAAAGAGTTTGTTTGTTCATTGGAAGAGATTTAGCATTACATCACTTGCTCACCAACGGATCCTATGCAATAAATGGGTGCCGTCAGAATGAGAGTCCAAACAGCTGATAAAAGCATCACAATAATCCACAAGTAATCCACATGACTTCAGTCCATTAATGAATGTCTTGTGAAGTGAAAAGCTGCATGTTTCTAAGAAACAAATTCATCAAGACGAAATTGCTTTCTCCAGTGAAAAAGTCCTCTCATCTGTATCAAAAGAGATATGCATATTTCTTTTCTGATTCTGACAAGATTACTTTTCAAGCACCATTTATAAGTATAAACAGTCCAAAACATTTCTAAATTTAATCCATGGATTTTAATGTGAGAGGACAACAGGGGATGGACGATTTGAGTCATGTGGATTATGTTGATTATTGTGATGTTTTTTTCAGCTGTTTGAACTCTCATTCTGACGGCACCCATTCACTGCAGAGGATCCATTGGTGAGCAAGTGATGTAATGCTAAATTTCTCCAAATCTGTTCATTTATAATTTACTCTTGTTGATCCAAACCTGTATGACTTTATTTATTCTAGGGGGCATAAAAGAAAATGTTTTTCCATACCAAAATGGAAGTCAATGGTAACAAAAACTGTTTGGTTACCAACATTCTTCAGAACATCTTTTGTGTTCCACAGGAGAAAGAAAATCATACAGATTTGGAATGTAAGTAATTGATGACAACGTTTTCATTTCTGTGTTTTTATCCGTTTAAAAAACACAGAAATGTTTTCTTTTTTTTTTTTATCCTTTTAAAGATACTGCAGCTTGACTAAAATGTGTGTTGAAATGTGCAATGCAAGACTGTTTCCTTACAGTGCAGAAAGTGACAAGTTCATTCTACAGAAGTTATAGGATAAAACCAGCAAATGATTTATTTATACCTGGTACATCAATCAAATCAGTGCTTGAACCTCATTTGCTTGTCATACTTGGTTCAACAAGGAAAAAAAAAAACATGTTTAGCGACTGAAACTGGTGAAAACCTAGTTTGTTGTATTTTTTATATCTAACATGATAGCATGATTTGAAGGATGGACTGAATGGAAAAGCACTGAGATCCTTTCGGCATCACTGTCGGTGTGCCATGTTATGCTGACACTCGCAAATGCTTAGGTTAGTAGTAGATTAGCTTTTCTCTTATGTACTGATAAGTGTATGAAATGATGTGAAAATGTTGAAGGCTTGAACATTTCGGGTTTCTCGTCGGTAAGAAATTATCTTGAATTGAGTTGTAATTCAGAATTTGGAATTAGTTTTTACATCATTTTATAACCAAAAAGTGAAATGAGTAGATTGTCAGAGATTTAATAGTGACTTATATGAGTATAACTTAAACTGAAATGGAACATAAAATGTTAAAATCAGCTTGCATATTTAAGGGTTGTTGTTTGGTCGGAGGAAGAAAGTTGATAAAGATGAAGATTCTAGCATCCTCTATGCCTTTAACACTCTTTCTGCCTTTATCTGCAACCCCTAATCAAACATTAAAGCAGAATGAAGTACTGTTTTTTTCTCCAGAGTTTTCCCTTTTAGAGGATCAATATTTGATGTTCTGTGCCCACCCAGGACATGCTATTGATATTAGGGTTTCACATTTGCATAATTATTTTGTTTTTTTCCTATATGTATGCATTATTGATATTCCAATTTTGCGACCTTGAAGGTAATGCCACTTAAACTGTGACTGGCGCATATGAAGTGTGAAGACAAAAGTTAAATTTACCACTGTACCAGACAATGTTTACCACGTGAAATTTATTTAGCAGACATTTTTCAATCATTGTGACTCACAGTACACTATTGTTTATATCCAGATTTTTGTTAGGATATTATGTGTTGAATTGTTTCTCAGTTAGCATTATCTGTTGTACATTTGCAGTTCTTATTCTTCGGTTAAAGTTCATTTGTAAAGGGTGTGTAAAAGGCTGTTAAGCGTCAAAGGGATGATAATTCCAGAGAGTCATTTATCTAATGGATGCATTAGGCCTGTTATTGTAATGAACACTTACATACTGCAAATTGAGCTGGTGTCACACCATTAATGTGTTACAATTTTAAAATCAGATTTGACTGTGTTATACCATTGATTTGCCAGCATATGTGCACAATAATGTATCTATGTTTGAAAGTTGAATAGACTGGGTCAAAGACTATGGAAAAATAAACTTGTCTTTTACTGACTGTCATTATATTGTTAATATAGTATTTTTTATATTATTTATTGATATTTTGAAATAACATTTATTTTATAACATTTTATTTTTATTATAATTATATATTTTATAGATTCTAAATATTATATATTTAGCCTTATTATTACTTTAAGTAATATTAGTACTTAATTTTTTTTTAAGTTTTTCATATGTTTTATTTTATTTTAGTTAACTAAATCGGTTAATGGTTTTAGTTAACAACATTGCTGTCATGGCCATTTTTTCCCAAATATGTTTAAAGTGATTTTGCTTTTAGTTCCACACTCTAGCATATTTCTGCTTAGCATTGTTTCAAAAAATATGAATATATAATATGTGTACATCATTCTGGCTAACATTTCCTTTTGTGTTCCATGTGAGAAAGAAAGTCAAACAGGTTTGGAGCAACGTGAGTAAAATGATACAGATTTTGTTTTTCTTCTTTGGTATATAATCTTTGGATTTGAGACTTTGGTCTTTGCAACTTTACAGATCTTCTTTATGCACCAAGAGCTTGTGACACTCCAAAGAGAAAGGACAAATTTAAATCGCATCATATGACCCCTTTAAAACGCACCAAGATCTCTAATCTCAAAAGTGTTTATTCCCGTCGCCAGGGTGACGGTGTGGGCGGTGGTATTTGATGACGTTCGAGAGCAGAATTAACCAATCGGATGAAAGAAACGCTCTCCGACGTCACCGTTAAAGTGAGCGACCGTTTTTTGACTACAAGTCAAGAGCTTGGAATATTACAAGGACAGAAACAACCAAAATGCCTCGGTTATTATTTATATTGTGTTGAAGAGCATCAGTGAACTATCGTGTATCGGCTGCAAGAGTTCAAAGTGGCTTGCGTGGAAGTCTCACTCACGGTGGGCTCTTCCCTGAAGGAGCGAGGGGAGAGGAGGATGGTCTTGCTCACTCCGGTGAGTAATGCTATGAATGCTCGCACTGCACATTCTCGCTTCGCCGTTCCCACTGATTTACTCGATTCGGAAGCTTCTGGACGTTTCACTAATTACATAACATCGGCTGGCGAGCTGTCTTGTGTATAAATGTATGAAATGACACTGTTCTGCAGCGGTAAAGCGCGAGTTAGGTATTTAATTCTTCAGACCCAGTCCTGCAGATTGAATGTATTCATATGAATACAGTCTTTTTTGTTTTAAATAAATGTTTGGTATCGTGTACGTCAGTCTGGCGCAGTCTCTCTTTTTAAGGTAATAGTAATATAAACTTGACATTTATTCAAAGTGCTCGGGTTATATTTTGTTTATCCAGTACTTGGTGAAGTTTAGTGATGTAGCGCTGTACACTGCATTTCGGTCAGGTGACACGCTGCTGTAGTACGGGAGACTGGGCAGTGTGTAATATTTTGTTACCCTCTTTTTGTTTTGGCGCTGTCTTAAACCTTGATTTTCCCTTATTTGTCTGCTTCTAGTTAAAGTAGTTTATAAATATACTACTTATTCATAAAATGTGTAAATTAGTGTCATGCAGCGTTGTTACAACCTACCCCACCATCAGGATCAGTTGTAACAGTGTTACGGTAACAAAAAAGCAAAGAAGTGAAATAATAAGATTGAACAAATTTAAACAAAATGGGATTCTGGCATTTGCCACAATTATGAGATTATAGGTCCTTAATATTTTACACAGATATGGAGGTTAAACTGATGGTGTTATAACTCATCAGTTAATGTTACAACACCCCCAGTCTCTCCTATAACATCCAAGCCAGACTCGTTAAAGTCTCAGCAGTATTTTTTTCTTAAAACTTTGTTGTTACATAAGCTATCAAATCTGAGTATGTTTGTTTTAGTAGTATTACAGTAAGTCGTGTGGGTGTGGGTGGTTACTTACGTAAGTTACAATCTCCCATAATTACTAAATTAATAAACTCTCCTTTGATGATTCTCAACAGTTACCCTCCCATATTTATCCTGACTGACTTTTATTGACCTTTGACAATGTAGTATTTTTAGTACATCTGTTCCTCAGTTATTGGGATATTAAAGGGATAGTTCACCCAAAAATGAATATTTGAATGTTTATCTGCTTACCCCCAGAGCATCCAAGATGTAGGTGACTTTGTTTCTTCAGTAGAACACAAACAAAGATTTTTAACACAAACCATTGCAGTCTTTCAGTCTTATAATGGAGGTGAATGGGAATCACGGCTTTGAGAGTAAAAAAAAACATACACAAACAAAACCAAATTAAACCCTGTGGCTTGTGACGATACATTGATGTGTAAAGACACAAAACGATCTGTCTGTGCAAGAAACTGAACAGTATTTATATCGTTTTTTTACCTCTGATTCACGGAATGTCCGAACTGTTCGAACTGTCCTGAGCGGCGGCGCGTCCTCCTGAGCGCGTTCTCAACAGCAGGCGCGTGAGGCATCTTTTTGCATTACCGCCACCTATCTCTCAAGTGGACCATTGACACTATCTACAATCTCAATTAGGAGTGTCAATGGTCCACTTGAAAGATAGGTGGCGGTAATGCACTTATAAGTCTGCAATCCGCCATAAAGCAAGAAGAAGAAGAAGATGCCTCACACGCCTGCTGTTGAGAACACGCGCTCAGGAGTACGCGCCGCCGCTCAGGACCGTTCGGACATTGCGTGAATCAGAGGTAAAAAATGATATAAATACTGTTCAGTTTCTTGCACAGAACGCTCGTTTTGTGTCTTTACACATCAATGTATCGTCACGAGCCACAGGGTTTAATTTGGTTTTGTTTGTG